CGCCGCCCCCCTCCGCCGGGCGCACGGCCTCCTTCAGGCACTGAGCATCTTCCCCCGGTGCCCAGCCCCTGAAATACTCCAGCCGCGGAGCCTCCCGCGGCGACTCATGCGCAGACGAGCGGCTGCGAGGCACAGGCTCAGCCAGGGATCGCGGAGTCGGTCTGATCCACTCCCGGACCGCAGGCGAGAGCAACAGGAAGCCCAACTTTCCGCTAATGCGCAGCTCAGGAAGGATCAGACCTGGCGACGAGTTGCTAGTAGTTCAGTCCCAGCGCTGTGGCCAGGCACACCCTGAGCGCGCTGGCTGCATACAGCATTCCCGGAACCTGTCGGAAAGCTGGCGTCTGTGCCCCTCGGAAGGTTCCCCCCCTCCATCTGAGGGATTATTGCCCTTTTCCCCCCTTTTATTTCATAGTGCCTAGAGGAGCTATGGTTGCCCTCTGGGCATTCACACTGTCCCCATCAGCCAGCAATGAGGGATGTTGCTTGCCTAGGGACTTCACTTTGGCCACTTGAACTCACACTTTTAAAGCCCCAGCTGGCTGAACAAGTCCCCATGTTAGGGTGGTGCTGGCACATTCTCTGGAAAACTCAAGTCTCCCTCTTACCATTTTCCATTTACACTGTTAACACGACAGTGAGATGGTAAGAAAGGTTCTTTCAGCTATCACATTGTGGAAAAAGCTGAAAAGACAGACATGAAAGAGGCCAGAAATTCTCCCTCTGCACCTGTCAGGAAAGCGGATCACATGGTTAATTCCCAAAGATGCCATAAATCTTTTCCTTAGATTTAAAAAAAAAAAAAAAAAGAAATATAAAAGAAACAAAGAGGGAGTAAGATTCGGTGCATCAAAACACTGATACAGAAAAAAGCTGCCATATCTAATCATTGTCACATTTTACAGCTGATTGCCAGAACTGCCATGAAGAAAAAGGAGAAGAAAAGGTAGCTTTCCCACTATCCAAAATGACTATTAATATCCTAAGGAAGTGCTGTATTGTATATCTTGTCCCTACAATGTAGCCTTGTCACGCAAGTGCGACCACTCTGTGAATAACTGCACATAAAACTGCTTGAAAGAGCCTGAAGGCAATGTTTTATTTATTTTTTTTTCCAACAGCAGTTGCAAAATTTTGGATCAGGCCCTAATTGAAAAGCTTGCCATGGTAAGTTATATGTCTTAAGGAAAGAGCAAAGCAACAAGACATGAGATGTGCTATTTGGAAGAGAACCAGTACTGTATTATTCCTCAGGATGGAAAGAAAATGAATGTTTTCTTTGATCAGAAAGCTGTCATTTCCAAAGTTAAAAAAGAGCAGATCCATTTGACAGTTTTTGCCTGACAAACAAAAATCCAATATATATCTGTGTAAGCGTTTGAGAAAAAAAATCTATAAAAGCATGACAATATCAGTTCTCTCCGAGTTCAGTTGTTGCCTTTCTGTCATCAGGGAGCCAATGTTGCACAGCCAAACGCTGCACAGAGGGTTGGGAAGAACTGAACCGTCGTGGGAGAAGCTGGCTGTCTCCATGCAGAGCAGAGGTTCTGCAATTATTCCCTCTCTCACAGCAGCAATTCTTAAGGTTCCTACTAGTCAGAAGCTATCCATGACCTACCTTTCATTTAATAGTATCACAAGGTTATGGAGCTTTTATGTTAGCCTTCTGGGATTAGAGGCTGGCTATGTAGTGGTGTCAGGTGGGGTAGATGCTGTATTATATCATCACAGATACAACCTAGATGTGCTGTTCTCTTACTGTGATAGCTACTTGAGAAGCTATTTCCTGTTGGATCCAGACAGAAGACAACTGCTGTCTCTTTCTTTCTCTCTCTCTTCTACACATACACACATAATTTCTCTCATACAGCCTTTTCAAATGAAGAATGAATTGTTTCTGAAAACTAATGGAGAAAGAAAACATCAATATAAGAAAAAGGTGGAAAGTTGCAGAAATCCAGGAAAAAAATGATTCTGCTTTTTCACATGTACGGTGAGTTGTACAGTCCCCTGCAACAATATCCTGGCCTCAAAGAACACAGTAGGGATGATGTTGGTAGATTTACCCCTTTTTTTCAGTGGACTGTTGTCAACAAGACAAGTTAAGCATATGTATAACTTCCTGTGGGATGTGGGTCCTCTGCTGGCCCTCTCCCATTTACAGGCAGCAGCCCATACCACATGCCACTTCAGTCTGATGTTTAAATGCCCATTTACATTTATGAGGCTGAAAACAGTCACCTGTGTGAGACCAGAAGGCTTGAATTTGCCACTGTGGGTTTGCAAAAGTAGGCATCTGCCACCTTAGCCCCTGAAAACATGTATACTCATGCTACCTTTTTGCATATAAGCAGACATACATAAATCACTGCAAATGCTCACAACGGTCGTACTAAACACACATATTTCCCCAATCAAGATCTTACAGTATTTACTTTCATAATCAAGGATGCTGTCTTGATTGAAATTTGGGACTGTGGCAACTGCTTCAATAAAAATAAGAAAAGGGAAAAAAAAGAGGTGCTTGTCATTAATTATCTGCTAATAGACATAGATGATTCAGTTAGCACGGATTAGGTAAGCACTTGAGACTTTTATTCTAATAGCTGCATCTTTCATTAAATCTACACATTAATCTGTTCTAAATATTGACCACAACTTATTGGATTTAATGGTTAATGGACTGCATTCATTGGAAAGGACGATTCAAATTCCCTTTTAGCTTCACTCCAGGAGAGATGTGTCATGCAAATTTCAATGTAGATCACAACTGAGCATAATTCAGCTCTAATCAATGTATTCTGCAATGGCTAGGAATACATTTAATTTGTCTCTAATTTTAAGAAAGCACCATGAAAGAAGGAGATATCAAACAAATCATATCAAATAATTTGCGAGTACAGAGAAAAGCAACCCTTTCCCCCAGATCCTCCTATGATAGGTGAAGAGAGAGAAATCTAATTATATTAACCAATATGGGGGAAATGGAATGACTCACAGAACTGCTGTTAAGAACAAACCTTTTCACTTCCAGGCCACTTGCTAAAAAGTGACCCATTTCAAAAGTGAGCAAGAATTAATACCTATGAGATTTTTCAGTATGCTCTGTAAACAGCTCTGGGACTCAAAGTTCCCAGCAAGCACATGGAATCACCTTCTCACCACCGCAATGGCCGCAGGTGTGTTATTGCTGTTGCATGAGTTTTAGTTAATGAAGCTTTAGTGAAGCTACCGTCCTTCACTCCATCAAAACTCAGCAACAACTTAATTATTTTTATTCCTTTGTTCTTTTTTATTCCCGCTTTCTTTTCAGAGTCCTGCTTTATTATGATTTGCACTATAGGGTCCTTGAGCAAGCAGGGCATCCTTACCTGCTAGACTAACACAGCTTTTATTCTTTCTGGAACAATAAGACAAATAAGCAAGTAGACAGTAGTAACGTAATAACTGACATGCTGTTTGTCTCTTCAGAAAAGATGCGAGGCCTGACTCATCAGTCTAATACAATTCTGCAACACTGTTCCCGTGGCAGAATTCCAGTGGGCATATTTACCACCTGTGGAATAGCTTTGTCATAAAGATCTTCCTAAAATGGAATAAAGCCAATCTGAAAGGTCTACACATTCCCTGTGTAGATCCTACTTTTCAGGGAAAAAATTGGAGCAGTAAAAATCATGTGTATTTATCTTAACTACCTGGGAAGGGAGAAAAGAAAAAGAAATAGGAAGCTCAACCATGCAGCAGTTCTGCCAAGTGAAATGACCTCAAAATTGCTTAAATATTGTAAATGAAGAATCTCATAGGTCAACAGATAATCTTGCAGTTGTATTAAAACTATATGCTTGCAAAATCTTTTGGCTCATGTTTGTGTTTATGCAAACTAGACATATTCCTACAGTCTACGAAAACTGATCTCAGAATAATTTGAGCAGAAAATATATGATTTTGAAGCATGGAGCTGCAGTTTGAAGAAACAGGTAAAAATACCGCAAGAATAACTGGTGAGACCACACCTTGAATCCTGTGCTCAGTTTCGGGCCCCTCACTACAAGAAAGACATTGAAGTGCTGGAGCGCATCCAAAGAAGAACAAAGCTGGTGAGGGGTCTAACGAACATGTCCTGTGAGGACCGGCTGTGGGAACTGGGGTTGTTGAACCTGGAGAAAAAAACCCTCGTGGGAGAACTGATCACTCTCTACAACTACCTGAGAGGAGGTTGTAGCGAGGTGGGTGTCAGTCTCTTTTGCCAGGTAACAAGCGATAAGACAAGAGGAAGCA